ATTAAATAAGTAATGTATTTGGACAATATATTGTCCAAATACATTACTTATTCAATGTATATAAAAAATTAATTTTTTCTTATAACTGAGACCGGAGGGAGTATTATTTTTGTGTAACGCCGAGTCTTGTGTTCATGTTACAAATAATTAACGAAAGAAGATATAAAAAATTTCTTTAAACTTTTTGTCCTTAATAATTATTTCATGAATAATTAATTTAGTCAACCAAAAATATCTAAATGATGCTATATTCACATGGTTATGGACCATGTCTTCATAGCTTGATGATTATCTACGATGAAAGAATCCAACTTAGCTTACTCTTCAAGCTAACACAGGGTCACACATATTATTCCTCAAGCAAATCATATTCTATATATAGTAGAAGCATGCAACATCTCCAAAGAGGCATCCAAAACTTGAGCCTTTATAAGTTCCTAACAAGTTAACGATGGCATCATTGATGGAATTGATGCGCCTCCTTCACGATGAAGCTGGGGATGAACCACAACCCCAACCCCGACGACGCAACCGCAGGGCCGCTGCTCGTCGGCAAAACCCACCACCTACCGGCACTCTCTCCAACAGTGGCACACAAAACATGGAGGGTCTTATTAACAACACCGGTTATGTTGAGGGACATGGCAACGGATCTATCGTCTATGGTAGCTTTGATTCTTCTACAAAGACTTACAATTAATTTTCTATACACAAAGTTCTTCCAATAATCACATTTTGTACTACATAAAAGAAAAACTATAGTACTATTAAATAAGTGTTGTAATACTTAAAAAACATGAGTTATATCTCTCACATACTTAACTCGTAGAAGACTTGTATGTCTGTATAGATAAGTTCATTCATAGTTTAGATAATTTTAGACTTGGTTGTTGTTAATATATAATTGTTATTATAAAATTATTAATAACTGTAAATATTTAAAAATTATTATAAAATTAATAAGAATCAATATAATAGAGGAGTAAAGACAAAGTGAAGAAAGAGAAGAGAGAAAATAAGATTGTATTATTTTCATTATTAATTTCGATTTCAAGTACAATATGAGTCTTATTATAGGACATGTGTAATAAATAGAAAATCAATTGAAATCTCCTAATTGATTGACATCCATAATGATTTCATTTATAACACTTACCCTTGGATGTCCATAAAGAATATGCCCCGTTAAAACCTTACAAAAATATCTAGTGGGAAAAAATATAGTGAAGAAAAAAGAGTACAACATTCTTTTTGAAGGAACTACCTCGTTACTAGTCAATACATATTATTATAAATAAGAAATAAAATTATAGAGAGACAATCATCCATTATTCAACAGTATCTCTTGGATGTTTGTTCGGGATATGCCTGGTTAAAACTTTACTGGTAATAATTCAGTGGAAAAAAATCTAGTGAAAGAAAAAGAGTACAATATTCTTTAAGAAAAATTCATTTCTCCCCACTGAACAAATTCATTTCTCCCCCTCAGTTGAACGATCATTTCTTCACGATGAAGACCAATCTTTTACACTAAAAGATCCGCAAGATAAACAAGTTTATTGGAGCTTAAATCACCACTTTGCTGAAGATCATGAGTGAAAAGGAAATTTGGAGAAACATATTTTGTTCGATCTCTTTTAATGTAACCATCTTTCAGTTGAGCAATGCATGCATTATTATCTTCATATATGGTTGTTGTATTTCTTTTTAGAAGTTAAATCACAAGTCTTTTGTGTGTGTTGAATTTGGGATCTCAATCAAGCGCATTCTCGACCTGCCTCATGTAGTGTTAAAAATCATCATGATTAGACGAAGTTGTTGTTATGGTTTGATTCATTGATCTCCATGAAATAGTTGTACCACCATAAGTAAACAAGTAATTTGTTTGATCTACCATTATGAGGACCTAGAAAGCATTATATTTCTGCATAATCTGTTAATTCTAATTTAGATACGAATAAAACAAATTCATGTCCATTTACCCCTAAAATAACGAAGTACATTTTGACTTTGTTCCAATGTCTTCGTTTATGAGAAGAACTATATCTTGTTAATAGTGTAATATTACTTGACATATCATGATGTGTATAATTAGCAACATAGATCAGTGCTTGAATTACACTAAGATATGTTACTTCATAACCAATTAATTTTATATCTTCTTCTCGAGGTCTAAAAGGATCTTTTACACATTAAATTATCTACTAAGGTGGACAACATACGAGATTTGTCCATATAGGAACATTTTTGCTATATACGAGATTTTTTCATATAAAAACATTTTAACACTTTTTCTATATAACAATCGTGGTGTATACAAATTCCATTGTCTAAATGTTGACCTTGCAAGAACTTTGTCTTTTCCAAGTCCTTCACATTAAACCATATTTTTGAATAATTTATAGCTTTTGGAAACTCTTCAGGAGTTCCAATAATATTCATGTCATCCACATGGATATTATTATATCAAAATTCTTGTCCAGATATTTTCATAAAAATACAAGGACATTTAGAGTTATTTTTATATCTCTCCCTTAGCAAATCTTTACTAAGATGATTATACCACATGTTTCCATATTATTTTAGCTCATAAAGGGACTTGTTCAATTTTATGGAATAGCTTTCTCCATATTCAAAATTATGTGTCTCTAATATATTAAACTCTTTAGGGAGTTACATGTAAATTTCACTATCAAGTGAGCCATATAAATAAGATGTCACAACATCCATCATGTTCATATTAAGCCCTTCATGCGCTACAAGACTAATCAAATATTAAAAAATTAATTAAATCCATTGCACGTGGATATGTTTCATATAAATCAATCTTAGATCTTTGCGAAAATTATTGAGCAACAAATCATACTTTATATAATTCTTATTTTTCTTTTTCACAAAAACTCATTTATATCTCATTGATTTGACACCTTGAGATGTTTGGACTACATGTCTAAAATCAAGTCACTTGTAAAGTGAGTTTAATTCTTCTTCAATTGAATATAGTCATTTTGGTCAATTCTCACTTTGTTTACAATCTTTAGTAGACTTTGATTCATGATCCCCGTTATCATTTAACATGTGCAGCGCTATATTTTATCCGAAGACATTATAAATATTAATTTTATTTTGGTTCTCAGACATAATTTATCGAGATCTCTTTATTTTTATAAACTTCAATTACCTAGTTAGTTCTCCTGAAACTAAAAATAAAGTATTTCAGAATACTCTTAGAGTTTATATATCCTCACTTGAGTCATCTTTACTTTTATCTCCTTTTCTTGTAGAGGACTTTTAAAATTGGAACCAACTTACCTACCACGCTTCATGCGTGGTTTCAACACTTGCAATATTAGATTATCCAACAAAAGAACCTACTTTAATTGGAGTATAAGCAGCTGATAATAAGTTTTATAAACTTTGCAAATGAGAAATATATTTAACTTTTGGTTCATATTCGTTTATACGAGGATTAATATGATAATTTATTTTAAATTGTATATGATCTTCTGAATCACTCTTCAGTCGCTTAATCTCCCCCTAATATTGGAAAATTTAATTTCTCAATTAATAATCAATCTGCTGGATTGCAATCAAGTATCCAATTATTTGCTCAAATTATATCTCAAAATTGGGATTTATATCAATTATATTTTTTCAATATTCTTTCGGGACTCGTCTTAGTGTATTATATTGGAGCATTGGAAAATACACAACACATCCAAAAATTCACTTAGATGGGAAGTATCACGTTATTAACCTGAAATATGTTACATAAGGAAAGAGAAATGTATCGCAAGGTGTTGGGTTGATGCGAATAAATATCTTAATACCATACTTTAGATGTTTCAAATATATAATTTAGAATTTATGGTCTCATAAGTATCAACCATATAATTAACTTTAGACGTCTAAAGAATGGATCTTCAAGTTCTTTTTTTGTGAATATTATTACATGATTTTCAATATCAATCTTAATAATATATGTGATATTAATACAAGAATTTCTTTAAAAAAATCCACAAAACTAGATCTTAGTCTCATAAGTATCAACCATATAATTAACTTCAGACGTCTAAAGAATGGATCTTCAAGTCCTTTTTTTGTGAATATTATTACATGATTTTCAATATCAATCTTAATAATATATGTGATATTAATACAAGAATTTCTATAAAAAAATCCACAAAACTAGATCTTAGTCTAATTATTTAAAAAAAATTCACAAACTTCTGGTCGTTAATAGACATATGCATGATTTTTTAGTCGATGCAATAATTAATGTCATACAAACTCAAATTTTCAAATTTTCCTTTGGAAACACACAAATTTTATTGAAGAAACTTCTGGTTCTTCAAAACTAATTCTCACATCATAATACATCCGAGATGACCCAGACGACCCAACCAATTTTACCAACAATACACTTAAGTGTAATTTGTACACTTCTGATTTACGGTAATATATAATTATATTCTTCTAATTTGTTTCAACCAATTGTGAATAATAAAACTATTTATATAAAATATATTTTTAAAAATAGATGGCATATAATTTAATTACAATTTCGATATCTAAATTAAAATTTTTATAAATTTTGATAATAATCACAAATTAATAACATTCAATTTTGAAACAAGTATTTGTCAATCTGAATAAATTTACAATCGAAAAGAATTTTTCCTACTTATATAAGTCATAAAAACTTAATACCCATTATGAGAACAAAAATCAAAAATAAAATTATCAAATAGAATAAATTATTATATTAGAGATAATGAAATCACTATTAAATTTTAAATATTATCAAATAAAATAAAATTATCATGTAGTTAAAATTTTCATTTCTCTCACCTCTCTTTTAAATCAAAGATATGCGTTTTTAATCATAAATATTTATCAATGAATATTATCGCTTAAAAAATATGTAAAGTATTGTCTTATAAACATTGAACAAATATAGTTTAAATAAATATAAATGCAAAATATGCAAATTTTCATTTTAATTCTTTAGAAACTATATTGATGATGGAAGATCTCATAGAAGGTTGTTGAAGAATGAAACAGAAAGCAATCAAGATGAAGAAGTTGGAATTCTGTTATTATTTTCTTAACTGTACAAAGGGGCAAGATTACTGCTATATATACAAATCCAATGAAAGAATGCCACCTAAGCTAGCTAGATATAATCTTATCTTATTTACATGTAATAAGGAAAAGTAGAAAATATACAAGAATACTTCTATACACTCCAATATGCCCCCTCAAGTTGGACTATGCAAACTGGAAAGTCCCAACTTGGTGAAAATAGATGAAAAAGATGGAGAATGTAGAGGTTTTTAGAAGGCATCAGCTAGTTGGGCCTTGGTGGAAACTGGAAGCAGATGAATGAGTTTAGAAACAATTTTCTCATGAACCACGTGACAATCCAGCTCAATATGTTTGCTTCTTTCGTGAAAAGCAGGATTATGGGCAAGATAGATCGCTGACTTGCTATCACAGTATACAGCTGCTGGCTGATCAAAACTAATCTGAAAATCATTAAAGAGGTATTGTAACCATTGCAGCTCACAGGTGAGAGATGCTAAAGCGCGATATTCGGCTTCAGTGGAAGATCGAGAAACTGTGTTTTGTTTCTTTGATTTCCAGCTAATGAGGGATGCACCAAGAACAACACAAAAACCTGTGATGGATTTCCTTATG